TTATAAATATTCAAATTAAAAATTTCAAAATAATTTTTAAAAACACAAATAAACAATAAAAAAATGCATATTGTTCCTCTATTTCTTAATTAATTTTATAAAAAAAATAAAATAACTTAAATCTACAAATTAAGTAATATATAATTTATATATTTAATTTCCTTCTATTATTTATCTTTTACTAACTCATAATTTTCAAATTGATTTCTCTTTAAAAAATTAAGAATAAAATTTATCATTAGGTTATATAGCAAAAGAAAAAATAAATAATAAAATTAAACATATAAATATTTTCATATTAAATAAAATATGCATAAATATTAAATATTAATTATTACCTAAAATTCAAATTATAGTTATAAGACTTAAAAATAAATAAAAAAAAAAAAAAAAATTATTTATAATTTTTTTTAATTATGAAAAAAAAATAAGAAATCGAAAAAATTATTGATTTTAGTAATAAAAATTAGAATATATATATTTATAAATTTTTATAATTATTTTAATAATAAAAAATATTAATATATTATATATTTTTAATTATATATATATTTATATTTTTATTTATTTTTATATTTATATTTATTAAATTTAATATTAATATTTATCATTTTATTTTTTTATTTACAAATATTTTTATTAATTTTTTTTTATTTTTATTTTTTTTTTAATTATTTTTTATTTTTATTTTTATACATCATATTTTGTATTTTATCTTATTTTAATATATATTTTATTTTATTAATTTTTTATTTATTTATTCATCATTTATATACATTAATTAAATAACTTTTCTAAATGTAATTTTTCATTATTTATATTTTTTTTTTAATATAATAATTTTTTTCTATAACTATTTTGCATAATATCTTTATTCAAAGAAGTTATTAGTTTTTTACATTAATAAAAACTATATTTATAATTATTATAATTTTAAAATATATTTTTCAATTATAAAATTATCTTTATTTAAATTTTTTTTTATATATTACAAAATTAAGCATTTGTAATAATAAATAACAATAATAAATTTAACATTAATATTTTAAATAATTAATTTTTAGATTATAATAGGTTATTAACTTAAATAATTAAAATTTATAATTTAAATAAAAGTGGAAAGATTTTATGAAGTTTTTTTAAAAAAAGATTATTTATAAATAAAGAATTATAAAATTAATAGTTATATTAATTATATATATATAATATTAATATATAAATTCAAAAAAAAAATTGTAATTATTATTTTTTATATATTTTTCTATTTTTATTCATTCTTTAATATGTTATTAGTACCATTTTTTCGTAAAATCGTCGCATTCTAATATACGAAAAGAGAATCCATTTATAATAATATCTTTTCCTACTATTAAATCTGTTGGTAAGAAGAATTCATTATTGTTTTAAACGTTTTTATATTTCTTTCTTTCCAAGAATTTTCCAACAGGAATGCCTTAAAAATAAATATTATAATATATAAATAATATAATTTATTAAAACCTGAATTTCTTACTGAAGGTTCATAAATTTGTAAAGATTCATCATTAAGATAAAAAGTAATAATAAAGCGTCTTTAAAATAAAATTATATATATATTTTTATTTATTTTTTTAAAATACCTATCAATATCTTCTGGTTTTGTAGTATTGAATTTACCAACAAACCTTAAATTAATTTAGTTATCAACCCATTTAAAGAAATCTTTTTTAGGAGGCTTAGGTATTAATCTATAAACATATCCTAAAGAGTCTTCTTCATCACCAAATCCATTATAAGGAGGAATTTCTCTCTCTAAAATAGAAAATTAAAAATAAATAAAAATAAAATAAAAAATACATGGCATATCTTTATAATGTTATTCATAGCCATGACCAAGTGGAAAATCAATATTTAATTTTTCTTTATAATATAATTAAGTATATGGATCACAGCCATTGATTTAGAATTTTCTTCCGAAAACATCTACAATCTGTCCATATACAATATCAATAGGTTTTGTATAATCTTCCGCATATGTTTATCCTGGTTAATTCAAGGCAAACTTTTTCGGTAATTTTTATCTTCTAAGCATTAAAGGGAATGGATCTCTTCCACTATTTTAATAATTGATTTCTCTAATTTCTATAGTATCATCAGCCAAAAAATAATGCATTATATAAGGAATGTCTGAAAAGACATAATATTTTAACACTTTTCGATCATTTTCAAGGAATTATTTTGCCGGAGGTACACGTCCACCACCTTTTTTTTATAATTTTTAAATAAATTTAATTTTTTATTTATTTTTATTTAAAAAAAAAACCTAATTTATGTTCCATGAAATCTTTCATCATTTAATCTTTAATAGGTACATATTGTGTAAGGGTTTTTTTTTCCCAATTATCAGATTCGTAATCTTAAGATGGTCCTTAAGGAATTCCTAGATTTTCATAGAATTCTCTTGTATATTGATCGCAATCGTAAAAATGGAAATTTTTTCCGAAAAATTCAATATCTTATCCAATTCGTAAATCATATAAATTTAGATGTAAACCACTTCCATCTGATTTTAAAATTTTTTGTCTTTTTAAAAATGCGCCTTAAGGAATTCCTGAATTCATTTATTTTGGTTCATTTACTTATATAGAATCATCATCTAAATAATAAAATACAATTACTTTTCGGATTCGATATTATTCTAAATTTGTTTCTACACATATTTCCTTAAAAAATGCGTTAAATCTTAATGTTTAACGGTCCATCTTTACATATGAAGGTTAATATAAATCCACTATATCTTCTGGAACGTTCTTTGGACGATATACATCATGAGTTGTTGACATATAATCGGGATGAAACATACCTTTTTAATCAGGTACTTGTTAAGGTATATTTCGGGGTAATGGATAGTTTTATGGAGGAAGATTTTTAGGTAAAATATCACGATTATATTCTTATTTTGCTGCACTTTTTCTTTTGAATGATTTTTCCTTTTTTTTTTTTTTCATGTTTTTTTTTTTATTGGGTGTATTGATTCTTACATCTATGGGATATGTGGGTATATATCCTGGTATTTTAGGAAAACTGGAAGCCATATTTTTTTATTTAATTTTTTTCTTTAAATTAATATATTGATTTATTAATTTGAAACTGATTATTTATTTTATTTTTAATTTTATTTAATATAAAAATTAATTGTGAATATATATGTTAATTATTTATTTGTTTTTTATATTTTCTGTAATTATTTCTTTATAATTCAATTGAAAAAAAAAATAGGGTTTCATATTTTTATTTGTTAATTGAGTTTTTTTTTTTTTAAAAAAAAAAAATATAAATAACTTAAATATATAATTTTTATATTTTTAAATTAATATTTAAAAATAAGAGGAGATAAAAAAAATTGAATAATAAATATCTAGAAAAATTAAAATATACTAATAAATAGATTATATATAAAAAAAAATATTAATAATTTCTAAAAATAATTCATTTTAAATAAAAAATGATTTCATAATTGAGTATTTAAAATATCATAAATGAATATATGTTTAAGTTTTTATAAATATGATTAGTTTATTTTTTATCATTTAAAAATGGTTTGATTTTTTATTTTTTTAAATTCAATTATAGATATTTTATTTTATTTTACAATCAAAACTAGAGCAGAATTAATAATAAATTATAAATAATTTAAAAAACTTAATGTCAATATATTAAAAATACTTATGAGCATTTATAAATTGAATTTAAACTTATAGCTATTTTAATGAATGATGAGAAACTATTTTTATTTAAATATAAATTATTTTTATTAAAAAATATGATATAGATTTTGCTGTTTTGATTATTATATAAAAAATATGTTTTTAATTAATATTAAAGATAATATTTTTAGATTTTTTTTTTTTTTTGGATATAAGATTTTTATTTATTTATTTATAACTTTTTATAAAATATAAATATATTTGTAAAAAAAAAAAAAATGAAATTTATATTTTTCTTAATTTATATTATTTTAATACACAAAGTAATTACATTACCTGCTGAAGTTAATTAGTTCTAAACAGATAAAAATCTTACGTTTGATGTTTATGTTCATTATTGCGGTTCATGATCAGGAAATAGCTAGTTTAGGTATACCTAAGAAATTATCAAGAAGGTTTATCCTAATGCTAATGTGATTGGTGAATCTTCGGATAATTGTGGAGGTTGCCTAGATATTTTTGTAAATGGAAAAGGTGGAATTAGTGTTCATAATAAAAAGGGAGGAGATGGTCCTTTAAATGATAAAAATGCATTATAATTTTTAGAAAAACTTAGAAATGCAGTTGAACAAAAAAGATAAGCTGAATAAGAACTTTGAAGAAAATAAAAGACTTTTTTATGTTTTCTTTTTTTTTTTTTTTAATTTTAAATTTCTATTCATCACTTTATTTTTATGAAGTATTAAAATGTAAATCTACTTTTTGATCATTTTAATTCTGAAAAAAAAATATAAAAATACATATATAAAGGATGAATAAATTTAATAAAACAAAGAAAAATGAGAAAATAAAAAAAAATTATATATATATTAATTATTATTTTATTTTTTTAATAATGAATTGATTAAAAAATAATTTTTTTAAATAAAAAAAATATCAAGATAAAAATATAAATTTATATTTTTTTAAATCTATAATTTTTAAGGAATATAAAACAATAAAATTTGATTTTATTTAATTTTTTTTTTTAAAAAAAAATATAATAATATATATATATATATATTTAAAAAAGAAACAAAAAAAATAATAAAAAATAATGACTGAAATAATAAATAATAATATTACCGAAATTCCTATATAATAAAATCTTATAGAATAAGAAAAAGTAATTAAAAAGAGAGGAAGAAAACTTGGTTCAACAAATAAATAAATAAAGATCTAATAATAGAAATAAAAAATCCATAATTTTGATAATTAAGTTTATTAAGAAAATACAGACGATGATGACGAAGATTATAATATCGAAGAAGAAAAAAAGCTAGCAGGAAGGAAAAGAGGAAAAAAGCCAAAAGATTAAAAGAATTAAGAAGAAGAAAAATAAAAATAAAAGACGTATAAAAAAAGAGGAAGAAAACCTAAAAGTAAAGATTATTTAATACATAATTAATTATCAGCAAATAAAGAATAAAAATCTAATGAAAATATATCTATTTTTAATTAATAAGTAAATAAAATTGTGGATTAAGGTAATAATATATAAAAATATTTTTAGAATTAAACTTAAAAATTAATCAATGATTCTTCTAGTATTAAAGTTATGGTAAATCTTGAAAAAATGTTTATTAAAAAGCAAAATTTTGAAGAACCTGAAATCCAAAAGAAAATTAACATTTAAGTTGATTGATATTTTTTTTAATATTATAAATTAATTTATTTTTATATTATTTTAAATCCATTTTTATTACTTTTACATATGTTTTTATTTTATTTTTATATAATATATATGTATATAAAGACATATTACCTACTTTTTTTTTGTATTTTTTTAAAAAATAATCTCAATTAATTAATCTAAATAAAAAACAAGAAAAATAATGGAGAAAAACATTTATTGTTTATCGAGGTTTAAAAAAATAAATATAAAAACATAAAAACTAGTAGAATATAATTTTTAGTATTTTTATTAATATAAAATTTTAATTCTTTTTGATAAAAAAAATATATAGAGACAGCATTATAATATCTAAAAGCTAAAATAAAAATATTATAAATATATAAAATTAACTTAATATAAAAAAATAAAATTATTTGATATAAAAATAATACTATAATAATTAATAATATAATACTTTCAAATATTAAAAATATAATTGTATTTTAAAAAATTATATTATTAATGTAAATATTTTGACTTTGATATTTTAAATAATATAAAAGTTGATAGTTTATATATTATTATTTTAAAATAATATTTATAAAAAAAAAATATTATTATTTATTTTAAGATATGTAACTTTATTTAAAAAAATAAAAAATTCAAATAAAATATTATAATCAAAAGATTTGCCTATTTAAATAATAATAAAATAAAAATGTTAATTATTAAAAATAAAAAAAATATATAAAATATATTAAACAGAAAATATTATTTATATATATATAAATATTTATATATTTATATATTTATATATTTATATATTAATTTATTTTTATTATATATTAAAATTAAAACTATAACAAATTTCTATTCATTTTATTAAATTATATCTTAAGCGAAAAATGAAAAAAATAACCTTAAATTAACATTCTTAATGTTAAAATTATAATAAATCCTAAAGATCGTAATCTATTCCTTCATTTAAACATTCTGATTAAACCATTCAATAAAATAAGTTATTTTAATTTAACATTGAAAATCATAATTAATTTATTAATTACCACTCATTAACTGAAGGAAGTAGAAGTAGCAAATATTCTTTTATGTAAATGAATTAAATATCTCAAAAGGTTAATAAAAACTACTAAAAAAGTATAGAAAAAATTTTAAGTAATAAGTGTAAAAAACAAAATCTCTTTTCTAAAATTTAATTAGTATAAAATAATATATAATTTTAAAGAAATACATAAGAATAATCATAAATGATTAATTTTATTAATAATAATTATATATATGATAAAATTAAAGAAAATTAATTGGAAAATAAATAAAGCTTAGCAAATACATTTCAATTAAAAAACTTTAAAGAATTAAATGATAAAAAAGAGATTTTGAAAAATTAAATATTTAAAGACTAAAAATAAAAAAAGGCCATTTTCGAATATGTTCAGAATTTTTAAATAAATAAGCAATAAAATTAAAAAAATTAAAAATTAAATGATTATTAGACTGCATTTTATGAAAAATTAAAATAAAATACTCACGAAAAAATATAGTAATAGTATAAATAATAATAAATTAATAATAAATAAAATTAATAATAAAATAATTTTATTAATTTAAATTATGAATATTTAGACTAATAATATACACTAAAACAAAAATAAAATCATTAAAATTTTAGTATTAGTTAATTAGAATTTATTAAATATATAGGAAAAGGAGTATTTGGAGGTGTTTATATGGTGAGGTAATATATTAAAAATTGAATTTTATAAAAAAAAATATGAATTTTTTAAAATAAATATAAGAAATAAAGTTGATTAAAATATATATGCACTAAAAGTAATAAATAAATAAATTATTAAATAGAATGAGATGTAAGATTAGTTTTAAAGAGAAGTTTTAATTAATAAAAATTATTGTAAAAATAAGAATATTATTTAGTTTATTGATTATTTCTAAGATGAATAAAATCATTTTATACTTTTAGAATATGCAAATGATGGAAATTTGGCTTATTTTTTGAAAAAAAATTTGAAATTTGATGAAAGAATTTCCAAAAAAATGGTTAAATAAATTGCTCTGGCTATATAATTTTTACACAATTAAAATATTTTTCATAGAGATTTAAAATTAGAGAATATATTAATTTAAAATGTTTTTTTTTTTTTTTTTTTTTTTTTTTAAAAAAAATAAATAAATAAATAAATAAATAAGGTAAAATAATATATATAAAGGGAGTGATTAAAATTTGTGATTTTGGTTGTGCTAATTATTCATCAAAAATTTTTAAAAAAAGGTCTTTCTGTGGAACTTTAGAATATTTGGCTCCTGAAATAATTTAGAATCAAATTTATGACAAAGAAATTGATATTTGGGCTTTAGGAATTATTTGTTTTGAATTAAATGCTGGTTTTACTCCTTTTGCTAGAAATACTGAAAGTAATACTTGTTAAGCTATTTAGAAGGTAATTTTTTATTGTTTTTTCTTTTACTTTTTTTAAATATTTTTTTTTAGGATATGGTTCTTTACCCAAAACATTTTTCATAAAATCTTATAGAGTTTTTAGAATCTATATTAAAAAAAAATTAATATGAAAGAATATGTATAAATTAATTATTAGAAAATAAATGGTTATAATATTGAAAAATTATATATAAATATTTAATATCAACATATTTTCTATTTTTTTATTTTTTTTTTAAATAAATAAAAAATAATTAATATTGATAAAAATATATATTTAAATTAATATTTATTGTATATATTTTATCATTTAGTTAATATATAAATAAAAAAAATACTAATGTGGAATTAAAAAGTTTCTTTTTAACAACCCAACACATAACAATAAGCTTATAATAAATATAGTCTTGCAAACTAATAAGTATAAGAAATAGATCCGAATGATTTGATATAATTTGAAGAAGAAATGGATGAAAATTATGAACCGACAAATTAAGGTTTTTGTTACTTTTAAAAAATGTTAAAAAAATATTATTATTATTTTTTATTTTAAAAAATAAAATAAATAAATAAAAAAATAGAGGTAGTTGAATATGCCAAATTTCTAGGAATGGATATAATAAATGATAAGAAATACTTTTATATAGCAAAAGAAGGTTTGAAAGCTCCTTTGCCATCATAATGGAAACCTTGTAAGAATAAAAGAGATGGAGAAATATATTACTGTAATTTTGAAACTGGAGAAATAACAATAAATCATCCTTGTGATGAATATTATAAATAGAAATTTGAAGAAACAAAATATAAAAATTAAGCTAAAGTATAATAAAATTTAATATATATTTAAATAAAATAAAAAAAAGTAAGCTGAATTAGTAATTAAATAAAAATAATAAATGCAAGACATGGATGAAGGTTTTGTTGGTGATTCGAATGTTTTAGATACTTCTTTAAATTAATCTTATGGTAATGCATTTGTTGGAAATGATTTAAATTAAAGTTAAAGTAATTTTTTATTTTGTTTTATTAATATTTTTATAAAATTAAAAGATTAAGAATAAATAAAAGTTGATATGGAAATTCAATAAGAGTATGAAGATGTTGAACTTAAATATTAAAAAGAATTAAAATAAAAAAATACTGATATTGAAAATCAAATAAAAAAAGAAAAAAATGAACTGTAAAAAGCTCTTGAAAAAGAATTAAAAGAGTTAAAATAGGAAGTTAAAAAAGCCGAATAAAATTAATAAAAAGAACTCCAAAATTAAAAAAAAGAGAAAAAAAAAGAACTTGAAAAAGAATTTGAAGATAAACTAAAATAAGAAAAAATGAAAATCGAAGAAAATCATGCCTAAGATAAAAAAAAAGAAGAAAATATTTAAAAAGAATAAATAGAAAATATAATGAAATAATTTTAAAAAAGCTATCAGAATTAAATTGATTAAAAGTAGAGAAATATAGATAAAAAAAGGCAATAAAATGAAATTTAATAAAGAAAAATTAATGAAAAGTTTAAAGAAGCGAAAGATAATGTAGCTTAGAAATTTAATACTTTTAAAAATGAAAAGATAGATTTTTTTTAAAAAAGTTTGGAAGATATTTATGAAAAGATTAATTAAAAAAAAGAAAAAGAGGATAATTTTTTAAGTGATAAAAATTAAAATGAGTTTTTAAAGAAATAAAGAGAAATTCAAAATGAAGTTTAAAATATGAAAGAAAAAAATTAATAAAAAAAAGCTATTTTAATTTAAAAAACGGAAGATGAATTTTTTAAAAAAAGATAGAAAATTATTAATGAATTTGAGGAAAATAATAAAAAATTCAAAAATGAATATTCTTTAGAATAAGAACATTAAAAAAAAATACAGAATTTTTAAAATAGTTTAAATTTTATACTTATTTAGAAAAAAACGGAAATTGAAAATTCAAAAAGAGCCTTTTTAGATTAAAAAAATGTCCTTATTAATGTTTTTAGAGCAGAAATTGAAACTAAATTTAAAAACGAGAAAAATTCTTTGTCTTAAAAAAGTTAAGAAAAAATTTAAAAACTTAAAGTCGAATTAAAAAGTTAAATCTCATCTAAAGATGATATTGATTTTGAGCTTATTTTCCAAAAATAATAACTAGATTCTAAGATTTAAAGTTTAAATGAAGAATTTGGAAAAGAAATGGGACTTCTTTCTTATTTGAAAAATTAAAGTGAGAAACTTTTATAAGAAAAAAATAGTTTGGATTAAAAATTAAATGCTTATGAAAATTATAAAGTTGGTTCTTGGGTTTCGGGAGATAATTTGAAAGAAAAAATATTAGAATTAGAAAATATAAAAAAAGATAAAACTAAAATTGTGGATAAACTTGAGAGATAAAAAGATGAATTAAAAGAAAAAATTAAAGAAAAAAAATTAAAAAATATACAATTTTTAAAGGAAAGTATGCTTTTGAAATAAAAAACTAAACTTCAAAAATAAGAAAATAAAGAAAAATATATTTTATTAAATATTGAAATAGAAAACTTGAAAAAGAAACTATTAGAAAAAAATGAAAACGAAAAATAAATGATTGAAAGTATAAAAGAAATCAAAGAAAAGCGAGAAAACACTATAGAAAGTGAAAACGATAGAAAAAAAAACAGAAAAAATAAAGGAATTTAAATAGAATATGATTAATAAGAAGAAGAGAAAAAAATAAGAAGATTTTGGGAAAATAAACTAATTGAAAAAAGAAATAAAATAAATGAAGAAAAAAATACTATAAAATTTAAAAAAGAAGATATTATTTAACTTTAAACTAATTTAGAAAATGATCAAAAAATTTTTATTATTGAAAATAATAGAAGTGATTTAGCTTCTGAAATTAAGTATTTTATTATTTTATTTTATTTTTTGTTAAAAAAAATAAAAAGAAAAAATACTCTTAAAAATATGTAAAATTCATTAGAATAAACATAAGAAAAAATCAATTAAGAAATTAAGTTTTTTTAGTAATTTGAAATTTATATATAAATGAAAGATAATTCCTTAAAATAAATGGAACAATTTTACTAATAAACAGATATGAAATTCAATTAAGAAGCTTTTTTATAATTAGAAAAAATGTATGAATCAATCTAAATTTCCGGAATAAATAATTATTATAATAATAATAATACAGAATGTTCAAATTTAAACATTTCAAATTCATTTAATAAACATATAGATTATTAAGAAAAATTAGATGAGAAAAGCATAAATACATTTTATACGGCTTAAAGTTTTTTTAAAAATAATAATAAAAATTTAACTTTATAAAAGCTAAAGTAAAAATATACTTTACCATCATTTAACTAAAATAAATTATTTGAAATTGAACAGAAATTTATTTAAGAAAGCTTATTGTTAAATAAAATAAATATTACTTAATAGTCATATAGAGATGATAATTCTAGCAATATTTATTAAATTTAAAGGATGAGTTATTTGGCTAATAATTGATTCCTTTTTTTTTTTTTCTTATAAAAAAATAAATATATAATAGGTTTATTTATTTATTATAATTTTTGTTTTTTATACTCTTTCTTTTTATTTAACTATATTTTTATAATACTATTTTTATTATATATTATTATAAAAAAAATATTCATATTTTTATTTATATATTAATAAAAATAAACTAAGTCTTTTTATTATTCTAAAAGAATAAATAATTAGTTTTTATTCAAATAAAATTTAAAATTGATAACGTAAAAAAAATAAAAATGAAATCAACCAAAGATTCATTTTATTCTAATCTTTTTGTACCAAATTAAGATCCGTTAGGTTTACCTAAGATATTAAAAGGCGCATTTAGTGAAAAATATATTTAATAATTTACATATTATAATAAAAACGATATATAAAATATTCCAAATCTATTCAAATATGAAAAAGATAATATAGAAATCAGAAAAATAGCATAATAAAATATTGAATCGAAACTTTTAAAGGATGAATAAAACGATTTGAAGTTTTATTAAATACCAATGTATGATAAAAGTCGGGCAAAAAAAAAAAATAATACAAATTATAGGACTTATCATTAAATAAGTGATAAAGCTTTAGTAGGAGAATGTAAATTATATAAAGAATAATAATTAAATGAATTTGAAAAAACAATAAGAAAGACTTTAAAAATAAAAGATAAAAAAAATACTCTTTTTTTGGGAGAAATGTATTTTTTTAAAAAAAAGATAAATAAAATGTATATAAAATTAATAAAATTAGTTACAAAAAATTAGAAGATTCAATGAATGAATAATAATATTAAAAATTCTATACATTAAATGATCGTGAATAAAAATAAAATGATATTAGGACAGTTGAAGGTCTAGATAATTGGCTTAAAAATTAAAAAATGGAACTTAAAATGAAAGAAACTTAGGAAATATCTACAGAATCAGCTTTTAATAAAAAAAAATACATAAAATTGTACTTAAAAAAAATTGTTTAACTACTAAAGGTAGTATATTAAAATAATAAGAATCTAAAGAAGTAATTTTTTTTTTATAAATAAAAAAAAATGATTTTAATGAAAATAATTTATTTATTAAACAAAAACAAAAAAAAAGGAAAATTAATTAAAATAAACTCGTGGTAGCAATATAGTAATTTTATTGAAATAATAAACATCAGACATAATTTAAAATACTGAGCAAAAAGACACTAAAGAGAGCTTCGAAAATAATTAAATGAAAATGATAACATCAATATCTTCTGAAAGTAATTAAAAAATAGGAAAATAATTTTAAAATATCAGTTCTTTTTATAATGTTTTCAAATCCCAATTAAAATTAATTAATGAAAAAGAAAAAGACAAATGTCATAATAATGACTAATAATAATTAAATGTTAATGAAGATGATAGAGTTTTACTCAAATAATTAAAAAACTATATGAGATAAAGTAAATTAATAATAATAATAAAGAAAAATTATAATATTTAAAAATAAAGTTCCAGATTTAACAGAATAAAAAGCTAAATTTAATGGGGATGATATAATGAGAGAAGATTTTACATAAGAATAAATGAAACTATTAATAGAAGATTTATTTTAAATTGAAGATGAGGAAATCGTACAAAGCGTAATTGACCGTTCTCGATTTTTCGAAAAATAAGCTAGTATAATAGAAACTTAATTAATATAAAAAATAAGAGAATATGACACTCTTATTAGTAATAAGAGCAATACTACGAGAATTTTAAGACTTGAAAATCATACATTAACAAAGAAAATAAGACAAATAAAAAGCTTAATTAAATAATTATAAGAAGAACTAATTGAAAACTAAAATAAAGCATCAAAATCTCAAAAAATAGATATAGAGAATATTTAAGCAACTCAAATTTTAAAGAAAAGCCAAGCTACAGAAAAACATTTGAATAATAGTTTATTGAGTAGTAATTAGTCTTAAAGATAAAATTTAATTGATAATTTGATGGTTAATGTACAAAAAATAAACGATTTGGATAGTGAGATATAAAAATTGAAATAGAATGTAGTATAATATAATAATAAAATAAAAAATAATGATAAGAATATATAAACTATTGAAAGTGATATAAATGTTTTAAAAAGAATATATAAATAATATTTAAAAGGAAAGAAAATTTTCCTTATGTAAATTTTAAAAAACGGAAGGGATTCAAGAAGTGAAGGACTATCCTGGGTTATTAGGAGTTTGTGGAATTGTGGGGAAAAAGTATATGATTCTTATTTACCGGATTTTCTAGATTAAAAGGCGAAAGAATATTTACTTGTGAGATCGTAAAAGGAATAGGAACTTGAAGAAATTACTTCTTTATTGAATATTTCGTTGGATATTTATAAGGCTAATATGATGATTAATGAACATATGAAAAATGTGGAAGGGTTATAAATTGAAGAGTAGATTATTAATGATAATTCAAATGGAAATTAATAAATGAATCAAGATAATGTTAGTTAAAATAATTCTTTTTATAATAGTTAAAGTAAATATTATTATTCGATTTTTTTTTATTTATTTTTTTGTATAGTTAATAATAAAAATAATTTACAATCTGTAAATTTGAGTAAAATTGATGTTAAATAAATAAAATATGAAGACTCAATTAGAAAAAAAATCGAAAAAATAGATAATATTGAAGATCTTATAAAAGGTATAGATGAAACATAGTAAGATATTATTTAAAGGACTCTAAATTAGCTTAATACTTCAAAATTAACTTCTAATGATATTATTTATAACGAAGTTTTTTTATTTTTTTAATCAATTTTAAATTAATGAAAAAAATAAAGACTCAAAAAAAAATAAAAGAAGTTATTAGAATTGCTAGAATTTTATAATTGTAATAAAAATAATTGAATTAAAAAGAGTATATTGATGATAATAATGTATATAACAAAATATTAATATTATTATTATTATTTTATTTTTTTAAAAAAATATTTAATAATTAGTTTACAGTTAATTAAACATAAAATAAATAATTAAATAATAAAATTATGTTATATGAAAATAGTAGTATTATTAATAAAGTAAATTTTTTTTACTTATAATTTATTAATTTTCTTTTTTTTATTTTTTAAATAAAAATAAGTATGAAAGTAGGGAAGAGTTTATTAAAGAATATGAATAATTGTCCAAAAAAATAGAAGAGAAAAATCATGAAATTAAATTTATGGAAGATGAGGAATTAATGAGAATTATTAAAGAATATGATTATAAAAATTACAAAAAAAGAATGGGAGTATCTTGTTCTATTGTTTTATGTGCTTTATTTGGATGTTATAAGGCAGATAGAGAACTTATAAGGAATGGAATGACACGAAAATGATAATATTTTTATATATTTAATATTTTAACAATTTTATTTTATTTTATTTTATAAATATTTTTTTTGAAGTAAAAATTAATAAAATTTATTTATTAAAAAAATCTAAATATTTGTTTTGATAAAAATAAATTGTTTTAAATATATTTTTGTTTTTTTTATATATATAAAAAAAGAAAAATGAATAAATAAAATTAATTTGATAATTCGAATGATAAAACATGTATTTTAATGAAAAAAATCTCATTTTAAGAATAATTATTTTTCAAAGTAAATTTTTAGTTTACCCAAAAAAAGAATCTCTTTTTTTGTTTTGTTTTATTATTATTTTAATATATAGTTGGAATAAAAAATACATAAACTAGAAAATGAATTAAAATAAAGCTAATTCAAAAACTATTAAAAAAATGTAAATAAAATAATATAATTATAATTATAATAAAAATAAAAATTAAAGTAAGAATATAACTATATATTAATGATTGAAGATTAAAAAATGTATTTTGAAACAAAAATTAAAATTTAAGAAGAATAAATAAATAAAATTATTAATTAAATAGAATAAATATATTCTATATAACAAGTAAATTATATAAAATAATTTAAAAAATAATTAAATGATTTAATTTTATAAAAAGAAAGAGTAATAATTTAATATGCTTAATGATAAAAGTTTAAAAATTCTAGAACAAAAATTAAAAATTCTTAACGATAAAATGATACCATGTGACCTCTCTATAAAAAAAAAAAACAATACATAAGAATAATAATTATTAGAAGAACTAAATTTAAGTTAATCTTAAATATATTAAATGATATAATAATCGAACACTAAAAATAAAGAAATATAATTATAAATAGCCAATATTTAAACTTAAATAGATTATATATTAGGATGTCCTTAAAAGAATATTTTAAAAGAAACATAAAATTAAGAAAAGCTTTCCCCTTAAAAAACAAAATAGAATAATGCTTAGGTAAAAAGAACACTTAGAAGTAATACATTTTAGCTTGAAGCAAATACTGAAAATAAAAAAAATAATGATTAATCAATTAAAAATAATCTGTAATTATTAGAAAGCTATTCAAATGAAAAATTATATTAAATTACTTAAAACTAGACTTAAAATGCTTTTAAAAATTAAATTTAAAATTAATCTATTGAAGATAAGATTAATAAAATTGATGAGTGTAATTTAATTTTTATTATCATTAATAAATAAAATATAATAAATAAAAGAAATCGAATAAAGGATTAAATAAGAAAATTTAAAAAGGGATTAATTATTAGAATCTTAATATAAATATAATGAAAAATAAAATTAGTATATTTATATATATATATATATATATATATATATATATATATTTAAAAATTTAAATATTTTTAAAGAGTAAGTTAGTTTAAACATACTCCTAAAAGTACAAATTAATCAAGATAAAAAGAAATTTAAAACAGATTATCATTAGAAAGAAAAGTTAAAGATTAAAAAATTTCTCTTTATGAAAAATAGGCAAATTAATATAAATCAATATATGATTAAAATTGAAAAGAAATAAAAAGTATGATTTATTATTCACAAATTATTATTTTATATAAAAATTTATATTTATAAAAAAATATATATTATATATATATTATAATATTTATATATTTATATTTATATTTATATTTATATTTATATTTATATTTATATTAATAATAATCAAAGTTAATGTAGAACTAAGAATCAAATATTCCAAAATAATTTTTTTTTATTATATAAATAAATATATATTTTCAACATTTTTTATTATTAAAATTATAAATAATTTTTACAAATTTTATTAAACTATTTTTTTGTAAACATTTTTATCTAAAATACATCCTATTAATATATATTTTATATAAAATATATAAAAAAAAATTTGTTTTTATAAAAAACTTTTTTTATTTTATTTTTCTATTCATTGTCTTGAATTTAAAACTATAATATTAGAATCATCTTATTCATTAGTATTTTATTTTTTTTAATATAAAATATTATAATAAAAACTGTATAAATGCTTAATAGATATCCATATATTGTAAAAATTATTAAAATAAATTGAGAACAACAGTTTTAATAATCTGTTAAATCATTAATATCAATATCTAGTTTTATACTTATATAAATTGACGATACTAAAATCGGAACAATTGTAATACTTTTCAAATATTAAAATATATAGTTTTTTATAGAATGTGCAAAAATATTTAATATTCTTCTTAATGAGTGTAACCAATATATTTTAAAAATTAAAAAATTATAACTACGATTACAGTTGTATTATTCCCAATGAGAAAGCAAGTGTATAAACAATTATAAAAGTATTGATGCAATAATAATATCCCGAGTTTTTATATGAATTTATTTATAAATTATCATTAAGGTTTTTATATTTTTTATTAATTTTTTTAAGATAAAAAATAAATTTATTTATTATAAATAATATATATATATTATATACTGTTTTTAATTTAAAAAGTAATAAATTATATATAAAAAAAAAAAAATTATCAAATTATTCATTGTATATTATATAGAAATTTTTAATATTTTGTAACTAGAAATTTAATTTTTTATTATTAATAAAATAAAGACATTGCATTTATTTATATTTTAAGATTCTTTTATTATTCATTATATTTTTTTTACAATAGTGAATTTTAATTATTAATATCTTGATTAAATTATTCATGAATAGATTTATTTTTATAAGATATAAATAATTATTAGAATAAATTAAATAAAATTAAAATTCTGAAAATAAAATAAAATTCTTTTTATAATTAACTTATAATATTGATTATTATTCAAAAAAAAATTCTTAATCATATAAATAAATATTTTTGTATTCTTGTATATTTATATTTTCTATATTTTTAATATATTAAATAAAAAAATACGAAAAATAATTATTTTAAATAATATTAAAAAACTATATTTAAATAAATTAAAACAGATTATATAAAATAAAATTACTTTTATTTGCATTTATTATATTCATTATTTAAATCATATGTCTTACTTTTTATAGTCATTTAAGATATATTGATAAGTTTTTATTAATTAAAATATAAAAATTGAATTAAAAATATTTAATAAAAAAGTAGTTTTCCTATATTTAAATAAATATACTTTTACTTTTTATAATATTATAAGATAAATATATTTTCTCTATTATAAAGGTTTAAATTAATTAGATATAATTTTTAATAAAAGAAAAAAATAATTAAAAAAAATAATAATAATAAAAATGCCTAACAAATTATGGAGAGTCCACCCTAGAAATTATGGTAAAGATTCTAGAGAATGTAGAGTTTGCCATGCACACTAAGGTTTAATAAGAAAATATGAAATGTATGTATGCAGAAGATGCTTCAGAGAATAAGCAGCTCATATTGGATTTGTTAAGGTACATTAAATTATAATGATTTATTATTTTAAATTAAAAAATAAATTCATACAATTATATTATATTTTTTTAAATATGAAATCTATATAAAAATAAATATTAAATTATTTATACATCCATTTTTTATTTTAATGAATTTTATTTTAATCATATAAATTTGTTTTTCAATAATGGATAAATTAAATGAATTCTGTATTTATAATCCCTACAGATAATTTATAGTTTGTAGGATTCGCGATACTGAAACAATAAAGATTATAATTATATATATATATAGATAAATATAAATATATATTTATTTATATAAGTCATATTTTATATTTTATTTATAATTTTTATATTTTTTAAATAGTACAGATGAGATTGCTTTTTTTTTAGCAAAAATTTATCAAAAAAAATATAAATAGAATATTTATAAATATATTTTTATATGCATATAAAGTAAATATTATTGTTTTTTAAAAATATTTATATTTAAACATAATATATTAATAATTCATTTTAATTTAAAAAATATTTTAATTATTAACATTTATTATTAATAATATTTTATATCATTTAGTTTTATATTTTAATAATTACAAATTTGTAAAATTAAAATTTTTACAAATAAATATTATTAATATTTTTTATTATTATGTAATAATATTAATTATAATTACAAAAATAAAATAATGTACCATGTTTTAATGTCTATATTAAATGTTCTTTTCATAATAAAACTTGTACAATGATATGCTTAATCCCAAATTGTTAAGATCGAACTCTTTGTTAAGACTGCATTTTGAATCATACCCACAGTCATTTATCAAAAATAGTACCTTTACAATAATTAGATAGTGAAACGAGTTTAATTCCAAAAATGATTTAAACGGAAATAATGTAGATAAGGACATAAATTTATTAGATATAAAATTAATTAGTAAGTTTAAAAGAAATACGAAAAAACGAAGTCGAGAATTTAATAAAGACTACAAAGTAAATATTTAATAATGAAATCGATAAATTAAAAGAGGAATGTAACGAATATTTGAATAATTTTTTTACCAAATTAGACAAAGAAATAGGCAAATAATTATTTGATATTTAAAATTATATATAGTCTATTTCACCCTATTTAAAAGTTCACAAAATCCAATCAAAAGAAATTAATGAAATTCTTATTTTTTAGGAAAGTTTCATGAATTTAGTTATTCCCGAAATGTAAAAATAACTGTATGAACTAAAATAAAATGCAGCCCAAAGAGATGTTTTTGTAAAAAATTAGCCTTTTTTAAACAATTTATAATTAGATTTACTAAAAAACCTTAGAATGAAAAATATAATAGAAAAAGAAGAAGAATAATAAAAAAAAAACTTAAAAAAATATAATTAAGAAGAACTAAAAAAGCCCCTTAATCAAATAAAAACTCTCGACTTAATCGAAAATTTATAAGAAGGAAAAATGATAAAATTCCCTAAAGATAAAATACAAGCTAATTTTAAAGTCTAAGAATACTAAAAACAACACAATTAAGACATACTGAAAATTTTTTAAGGACATTAAGATATAGTTACCTCTCTATGTATACTAGAAAGCTCCAAATTCGCCTCTGCAGGTGGAGATTAAATAATAAGAATGTGGGAAATTGACACAGGGAACCAAATAGGTAATATGCATGGACATTTAAAAGATATATGGGCTTTGGTTAAAATAAAAGATTGCTTTTTAGCTTCGGCAAGTGCAGATAAAACAATAAGGATATGGAACTATGATATATTGAAATGTATAAAGATTTTTCATGGGCACACTGATATAATAAAATGCCTATGTTTTTGTGAAAATTAGGGACTTCTAGTTAGTGGAGGAGGCGATAATAAAATTAAATTTTGGAATATGGAAGAATTAAAATGGTCAATGATTGCCCATAATGGGATGGTTAGGTGTCTTTGTTATGATAAGAAAGGGTTTTTAATTAGTGGGAGTGCTGATAGTACATTAAAAGTGATTGATTTGGAAGATTTTAGTGTCGCATCGGTTTTAAATGGTCATTTCGGAGATGTTCTCTGTGTATGTTATGTTAAAGATGAAATAGTAGCAAGTGGAGGGTCAGACAAGAAAATAATTGTTTGGAATTATTTAAAAGGAATTTAAGTTAAGTAGTTTATAGAGGGGCATTTCGAAGGTATTAATTGCTTGCATTATTGTAAAGGGTATTTGGTTAGTGGAGGAAGTGATAAAATTTGTGTTGTGTGGGATATGAAAGGAAATATGAGAAACAAAATTAAAGTTCATGCTAATATTGTTAGTTGTTTGGCTTTTATTGAAAGAAGAAATTTAATTTTAACAGGTAGTTGGGATTAGTGCATTTTTGTGTAAAATCTTTAAATTTATGATAAAGAAGAATTTAATTGAATTTTTTAATTTATATTTATTATATTTACAGTTTTTAATATTTTTTATTATTTTTATTATTTTTATTATTTTGTATATTTTTTATGTCCTTTAAATAAAAAAATAATAATAATTTAGAGAATATTAGCTTTGATAATAAATCTCTATTTGATAATTATGAAGACACAAAGTAAGATTTTTCGCATATTTAACTGAATGATAACTCAATTAATAATTCAAGTTTTATTCAAAAAAATTAATCAAAAAGAAATAAAATGTTTGAAATAGATGATTTCTATATAAATGACTTTAAAAAAGTTAATTAAAAAATTGATTTTCCTTTAGAAAACAAAAGTAATCCATCATCAATACATATTTTTTAGTAAAAAATTAATTGATACTTTTTTTATAAAAAAAAAAATAATGTTTTTTTTTTTTTTAAATAAAAAAAAAGAAAAGAATCTTTTGGAGAAATAAGACCGAGATCTAATGACAGTAAATATTTAAAAGAAGGATATAAAATACCTAAATTTAAATAAAAAGTATAAAAAAGTTATAAATGATAAATATACAAACTTATATTTTTATAAAAAAAAAAAAAAAAAAGAAATTATTAGAATAAACAAATATTTAATAAACTTTACAAAATTCTAAAAAATATGAAAACCACAATTATATTAATTTCAAAGATGATATAAAGTCCGTAAATTTTTTAAATGTTCTATTTTACATAACAAAATTTGCACGTAAAATAAAACTTACGATAACTCTAAAAAACTTTAATTTATTAAATTTAAATCATTTTAGATTAATAAATGACTAATCATATTATGTAAAATAAGATTTCTAATAAATAAAAGAAAGAACTTTTTCTAAATATTTGGATAAAATTTAAATTTTTTCTCCATCTTCGGTTGTTGTTGTTGTATGGCATATTATAATATTATTTATTTTATTAATTTAATTATTTTTCATTCCTCTAAAATTTGGCTTTGGTATAAGTCTATAAGATGGCTTTTTCTATTATTTTTTAAGACTTTTACCAATAGCAGCCTTTTCTATTGAAATTTTATTAACTTTTAACACTGGATATTACGAAGAAGGCCAAATAGTACTAGATAGAACTAAAATAGTCAAAAACTATATCAAATTAAAGTTTTGGACAGATTTGATAGCTACAGGCAGTATAATATTAAAATTAATCACTAGATAACGTATTTTTGGATTTTTTACAATTTTTTCACATATAATAAATGAATGATTTAATATAATTTTTAGATGATCATTTTTAAATCAGTTAGAGATTCTAGACTATATTTGAATTATTAAAATTAAGTTTTTTAATATTTTCAGTAGCTCATTATTTCGGTTGTTTATTTCATTTTATAGGACAAATCGAGATTTAATTAAATTAAGAAAACACCTGGTTACACGCCAAATAATTAGTAGAAGAAGAATGGCAAGTAAGGTATCTAAATTCAGTATATTATGCTTTTATTACAATGAATACTGTTGGATATGGAGATATATGTCCAACAACAAATATCGAGAAGATTTTTGTCATAGTGATGACTTTAATTAGTTGTGGAGTTTTTGGATATGCAATAAATACGATTGGTTCTATAATTAGAGAAATCGCAATCAGGGATATGGCTTATAAATAAAAAAAATACGAGATTTCAATCTATATGATAAATAGAAAAATTAGCAGAAATGTACAGATTAAAGTATATAAGTCTTTAGAATATACATATTAATAAGAATAAGAAGGTAATTAAAAATCTAGACTTATTTTAGAGTCTGTTTCTAAAACGGCTAGGGAAGAGGTTTATAAAGAATTTTATGGAAAGATTTTGCATTCGAAGAAAATTTTTAGGTTCAATTTTACTTCTAAATTTATTGATGAGTTAAGCTTGAGAATGAAAGAAGTTATTATTGGACCAGGAGAGAATATATATAAAGAAAGAGATAATGATAGTAGAATTTATTTTGTTATTAAAGGTGAAGTGGAGCTTTATGTAACAAAATAATCAAGCCAAAATTTAGAAAAATATTTTTAATTAATAAAAATTGGAGTATATATTTTTATATATTTTTTATTAATATGTTTTTTTAGAGTGATAGTTTTTTTGGACATATTGAGTTTTTAACAAATTAAGAAAGATAAATATCTGCTCGCTCACTTTCCTCTTGTAATTTAGTTTATTTAGAAAATAAAGATGTTATGGAAATCATTCATAATTTTTAATAAGATTATGTAATTTATTTATTTTAACAAAAATATAAATATATTAAAAGGAAAACTTTTGTAAACTGAAAGATAATCTTTTAATGTATTAAAATTAAATAGACTAAAAATGTTTGAGTTGCGAATAATTTACACATTAAATAACTGATTGTCCATTAATTCATTTATCCATAAATAAAGAATACTATATAAGAAAATTAAACATGAAATAAAGAAGTAACATTAGAATGCAATTTTAAAGAAAAAAAAATGCAAAATCACAAAAAATATAATAAAAAGATATAAAACTATCAGTAAAACAGATTCGCAGTGATATAGTATTCGACTATAAACCCGAATATTTACATTTCGAGTATTTTGATGATCTATATGAAGAATCAGATTATTAATTTTTTACCAGGACCCCAATTTTAAAATTAAAATCGAATTAATCATTTGAAGTATTAACGGAAGTTTCTGAAAACGAGAGAGAATTAATAGATAAATGTAATGAAGAGGGAAGTTATAAAAACATAAACGAAAATACAGATAATAATAGCCAAAAGAATTTACTAAAAAGCGAAGGAAGTACTTGTAAATAATTAGTTGTTTAATTTTCTTAAGAATTAAATTATAATAATACTGAAAATAAGAAATAGATGGAAAAATAAAAATCTAATTAAAGTAGTTATTCTAAAAAAAGCTATTCTTAAAATTAATAATTTTATTCTTATTTTCACACTATTAATGAATTTGAAAAAGCCAAAGATTTCGAAAAATATTATCCTCATAATAATTTGAAAAGAATATTAAATATAATTAATTTTAAAAGAAAATAAAAATAATTCTTTAGTATGTAGTTGGCTATGAAAACTAAAAATATTTAAATAAGAAGTAAAAGAGAGAGTCCGCATTCTCCAACGAATTTCGAAAGTTAATTTATTGAAAATTAAAGTGATAAGGTTTCTAATGCAGTGTCTTTTTGATATTTTTTTTATAAAAGAATTATTTTTTATTTAATTTTTTTTAAAATTTTTACTTTTATTAAAAAAAGTTTATTTAGCTTTTTATATTTATAATTTTTTTTTTAAAAAAAAAAGTTTATAATAATACTAATAATACTTTTACTTTTAAGTATTTTTTTTTTGTTAATATTTATCATCAAATATATTATAAAGCTACCAATAAAATATCAAGAAATCTTAAAATTAATATAAAAGCCAAAAAATTATTTTATAATAAAAAGTAAATTATTTTCCTTTATAAATAAAAAAAATCTCTCCAAAAAAAAAAAAAAATTTGATTAAAAAAAAAACACCTTAGAAAATTAAGAAAACAAAAAAATAAATAATGGAAGAAACAACCAGCCCAAACAAAAATTCTAGTATTTAATAAAAAAATAAAAATTATTAATAAATTCAGCCAACTATTTAGCAATAATAAAATAATAATTAAAAACTATAAAATTAATTATAAACTTAAAATAATAATAACTAATCCCAGTAGTAACCAAAAAGTAATCAAACAGACCAATTATAGATAACATTTAGTAAATTCGTGAATTAAAAGACGGGATTTTACACCGAAGACTATAAATTAGGCGGAGTACTTGGTGTAGGTGCATTTTCTTAAGTAAGGAAAGTTATAAATAAAAAAACTAAAGCAATTAGAGCAATGAAGATAATAAATAAAAAATTAGTCTCTAATTTAAAAGACTAAAATAAATTAATTAACGAAATCGAACTTTTGAAATAATTAGACCATCCACACATTTTGAAATTATATGAATTTTATTAAGATACAAATAATTATTATATTATACTTGAATTATGTACTGGAGGTGAATTATTTGCTAAAATTATCGAAAAAGGCTCTTTTTCAGAAAAAGTGGCATCTTATATTATGAGATAGATTCTATCAGCTGTTTTTTATGCACATAATCATAATATAGTACATAGAGATTTAAAACCAGAAAATATATTATTAGACATAACTTCAGATGGAACTTATAATATAAAAGTAGCAAAATAATAATTTTATAAAAAAAAATAAAAAAAATAAAGATAGTAGATTGGGGAACTTCCAAAATATTCACTCCAAACGAACAGATGACTGAAAAAGTAGGAACTCCCTATTATATTGCCCCTGAAGTATTAAATAAAAACTACAATGAAAAATGCGACGTATGGTCATGTGGTGTAATTTTATATATTTTATTAAGCGGTACTCCACCTTTTAGTGGCAAAAACGAGACTGAAATAATGATGAATGTATAAAAAGGGAATTTTTCTTTAGAAGGAAATAATATGAAACACGTAAGTGATGAAGCAAAGGATTTAATAAGGTAAATGTTAGAATATAATCCTAAGAACAGACTTTCTGCCTCTTAAGTTTTAGAGCATAAATGGTTCGAATTAATAGAATAAAAAGAGGTTATAAATGATGAGGCATTTTAGAATTGCTTAATTTCCCTTAAAAATTTCAGATCAGAAAGGAAACTTTAGTAAGCCGCTTTAATTTTTATAGCAAGTTAATGCACTTCAAAAGACGAAAAATTCCAGTTGAATAAAATTTTCAAAGCACTTGATAAAAATGGAGATGGGATTTTAACCAAAAACGAAATATTTGAAGCCTATAGAAATTTTATGCCAGAAGAATAGGCTATATAAGAAATGAATAAAATCATGTATTAAGTAGATATTGATAAAAGTGGAGCGATTGATTATACAGAATTTATTTTAGCTACTATGGATAGAAAAAAAGCTATTACTAAGGAAAAATTATAGGAGTCATTTAATTTATTTGATAAAGACGGAAACGGATCAATTACTGCAGAAGAATTAAGGCAAGTACTTGGAGGATAAATGAATTGTAAAGATAATAAGTTGTGGATTGATATTATTGGCGAAACTGATGTTAATGGCGATGGGGAAATATCACTTGAGGAGTTTACGGAAATGATGCTTAAATATGCTAATTGATTTTTTTGTTTTTTTGTATTTTTATTTATACTGTGAAAATATATATATTAAATCTAAATGATAATATTTTATTAATCTCAGCATTTGTGTGCTTTTATATAGGTTTTTTTTTTATATATATAAATTATTATTTATATCAATGTTTTCAATATTTTTAAGAAAAATAAAATATTAATAAATATATAATTTTTCTAAATTATTTTTATATATAATATATATTTTTAAAATTTGTTTAGTTTTTATAAAATAAATTATGATTAAAATTAAATTATCTTTTATATAATTAGTCAAACTATATGAATTTTATAAATTAAATTAATGATTTTATAAATTTTAAGAGTAAATAGCTTAATAAGAGAAACCAAATATTTATATATTTTGTATTTTTGATAAAAATGTATGAATAGTTTTACATTGCTTAGTAAAAATAATAATAATTTTAATATTAAATTCTAAACCAATAATTAATATTTAAAATTATGAAAATCATTCTGAATAAAATAATAATAATAATATATATATATATATATTATTAACTATTATTATGGATTTTTCTGTTATTTTTTAAAAAAAACTTAGAACATAAAACATTTTTTTTCGTCTTTTTTTTTAATTGTGTTTTTTAATACAAAAAAAATACAAAAAACGATATTAAAATGCAATATATATATGAATTACATATAAATTATTTTAATTTGAATAATTTTGTCAACGTTTTTTAATTTATGGCTTTTCAAAATACTAAAAAAATAAATACCCATTGTGTATTATGATTCTCTTTAAACTAAAAGTAATTTTTATAAATAATCATTATTTATTGATTATTAATTTGAAAAAATGTAAAAATAACACAAAAAATAGATAAATAATTTTAATTAAATAGAAGTTTGTAATTTTAAAAACTAAACATTCAATATATATAAATGTGTTTGAATTAGTTTTTTTAATTTTAATCATATATAAATATTTTAAAAGTTTAATATAATAAATATGTAAATAAAATATTTTTATATAGTTAATTTATAAAAATAAAAAAATTAACAAAAGGTAAATAATTTAAAATATATTTATAAATATAATATTAGTAATAAATACAATAATAATGTTAAAATATATTTATAAATATAATATTAGTAATAAATACAATAATAATGATATTATTTATACATAAATAAATCAGTAAAGATTTAATAATAAATTTATTAAAGAATTTAAAATAAAATTTTTATGAAATTAAAACAATAATTTATTTAAAATAATTATTTATTTTATGCTAAATTTAAAACATAATTTTGTTAAAAAAATAAAAGTAAATAAATAAAAAAGAGTTAATGATAAATAAATAAATAAAAAAATTAAAAAAAAAAAAAAAAAAAACAAAACAAATAAAAATTTAACAAATAATAAATAATTCAAAAAAGAAAAAAAAAGAAAAATACATATATATATAAGAACTCTCAAAATAAAAACATGTAATAAAGTAAATCTAATAGTAGTAGTAGTAGTAACCTAAATCTCCAACAAACTTTTTATAAATAATTGGATTTAAAATCTTTTACCCAATCGTAGTTTTAATAAAGACCTCCAAAACAAGAGCCAATAATAATGGAAAATAACAGTAGTGGAATAAAAATGAATAATATGCACGAAGGTTCATAAAATTAATCTAGGAGATTTTCTTTATTTTCAAAAAGTTCTTTTGCTACATCGGCTAGTTTTTTATTTAGAAGTAGTGGCTTTCATTTAAAAAATAACAAAAGTGTACCTAAAATAGATATTTGTAATATATTTAAGAAAAAAGCATATTTATATTTGGATGAAGGATTAGCTAATACATTCGATGATTTATTAGAAAAAGGGTACTCCATGGTAAACTAAAAAAAATAAGAAAGAGATATATATAAAGAATAAGAAGAAGGAATGAGATAAGAAGTTAAAATAATCGAAAAAGACATAGTTCCATTAATAAATTAAGCAAATAAATTAGAAGAATAAATATAATATTAATAAGAATCTAATAGTAAATATGAAGATGAGATTTAATAATTAAAAAAAGAACTTTTTAATCTTAAAGATTGTATAGAAAAAAGAAATGAGGAAATCTTAAATAATCATAATAATTTAATTAATACTATAAAAAATTCAGAAATACTTAATAATGAAATTAGATCTTAAATTAATATTAATAAAGCTAATCATAAATAATTAACTAATTAATTAGTAAATGCTAAAAAAGTAAAAGAATAAGAATAAATTTTACTTGTTAATAAACTTAATGAGCTTAAAAAATAATATGAAGATAAAAAATTAGCTTAAGCAGATAAATTAAGAAAAATGGAAAATAAATCTAAAATGTATTTAGGGATTCTTAAACATTGATTCGTTTTTTTTTTATTATTTTATTCTTTTTAAGAAAAATATAGTTTTCTTTTTTATATATTCTTTTTTTATATATATTAATAATAGATTATTATCATATTAAAACATTTTTTTATTTTATTATTTATAAATAAATAGTAGTATTTATTTTTTATTTTCAAAAATACTGACTAATATTTATAAAATATTACTTTTAAAAGAATTATTATAAAAATTATACCATAAAAAAAAAAAATACTTTAAAAATAAATTCAATAAAGTTAAAATAATAAAATAATCATTAAATAATTTCATATTAATAAATTTTTAATTAATAAAATAAAAATATAGATATAAAATAAAACTTATATATCATATATCATATTTCATTTTTTATTTTATTAATGAATTACTAAATTAAAATTTAATTATTATTATTTCTCTTTTGCATTTATAAAAAATCATTTTCAATAGTTTAATAGAATTAATCAATATATTATTCTTATTTATGTTTTTCCTAAACGTTAATTTATATGAAGAGTTTATAAGATTTAACATTATAAATAATAATAGATATAGATTCTTTATCCAACGATTTATTTTCTTTAAAATCTTCAATTATTTAAAACAATTTATTTTAATATCTAACATAGACGAATATTTTTTAAAGAAAAGTTTCTGTCTAGTAAGATATTTAAAATTATTTTACTGCCCCCAAAAGCATATAATTTTACAAAGGTTATGAATACTAGAATAACTTAGTTTTAATTTCATTAAGTTTTATAGGTTTAATTTTATCAAGTAAATCTATTAAACATGATTTAAGTTTATTTGTGAATTAAAGTAATTAAATTTATTATTTTTCCTTAAAATATTAATTGATTTCTTGAATAAAAAGAATACTTTTACTAAGTGCTCTGCTGTATATTTCCAAAAGATTAGCCACATATTAACTTTGAATTAATTAAAATTTATTTTTATCTAATTTTTTTTTAAAATATTTAATAAAATGTGCCTAAAAAATCTCATATAAATATTCATCTCTATTATTATTAATATTTTTTCCAAAATCAATAAAAAATCTCAATAATTTTTCTCTTTTGGCACTAGTAAAATTTTAAAATAAAATATTGCATAAAACCGACCTATATTTCTTCATAATTTCAGAAAATATTTTATGTAAATTCTTATTTTATATATTTGCCTAAATTAAACTTTCTAGCCAATGTAAAAGTTAGCTCAATTAATCGTATTGCTCTTCTTTTAAACATTTCTATATAACATTTTCTATTTCGAATATTTCCATATAATCACCTTCTTATTAACATTTTTTTAATTTTTCGAAAATTGTTTATTTTTCTAAACTTTATATAATATAAATATATATATTTATTTTATTTTTTTAAGTATCATAATTTTTATTTTAACTTTGATTAAATATTTGATGATTCTTTAAATTATTATAAACTTTTTAAAAATTGTTATGATTTATTTGATGTTTGTATTTTATTTAGTTCTTATTATAATTTTATTGCTGATTCCTAACTTTTTACATAGTCATTTAAATTAGTACTTAACATTTTTTTCATTTCATATCGATTTTTCGCTATTTCACTTTTTACTAATTCTAAATGATTTCCAATATTTTCGTATGGACTATTTAATACTTCTTGCCAAAATTTATCGTCTTTTTTTTCTTTTAAAATTGTTATATATTATTATTCAGTCATTAGTATATATTTTTTTTATTTTTTTATAAAGATATATTATTTATTTTTAAATTATAAATTAACTATTAAAATATATTTTATTTTTCTTAAAATTAAAAGAAAAAAATAAACATAAGTATATATATATACAAATAAAAAAAAATATCTTAATAAAAAAATAATATATAAATAGTTTGATAATTTTTTTTTTTTTAACAAATAAAAAAATATAAAAAGAAAAATCAAATGAAATTTTTCACAATAGTATACGAAAAAACGGCTAAAGTAGTTGAACGTTTTGGAAGATACCATAAAACCTTGCACCCTGGCTTTCATTTTTTAATACCAGTAATGGACAAAATATCATACATCCATTCTTTAAAAGAAGAGATTATAACAGTAGAAAACCAACAAGCAATAACAAAGGATAATGTAACAGTATTAATAGGAGGAAGTTTATTTATTTAAATAGATGATCCTTTTAAAGCTTCATATAATATAGAAAGGCCTTTATAAGCAGTAAGACTTTTAGCTTTGACAGTATTAAGAAGTGAAATAGGTAAAATGAAATTAGATACTTTGTTTTAAGAAAGAGCCGAAATAAGTAAATCTATAAATTTGGCAGTGAATAATGCATCAAATGGATGGGGAATAAAATGCTTGAGGTAATTATTAAAATTATACATATATATATATTAACAAAAAATAAAAGATATGAAATTTTATAAATAGATCCACCTTAAGAAATTAAAAATAGTATGTAATTAGAAGCTGAAGCTGAGAGATTAAAAAGAAGAGAAATAGTGATTTCTGAAGGATAATAAATATCTGAAATAAACCAAGCAGAAGGACAAAATATTTCTTATATAAAAAGAGCTGAAGGAGATGCTGAAAGTATCGAAATTATAAGCAAAAAAGAGTCAGAAGCTTTATAATAAATAGGAAATTCCTATAAAAATGTTAAAAATAAAAATAGCATTTAGTATATTTTATTACATAACTACTTAAAAAATTATGAATAAACTTTAAAAACTAGCAATGTTATTATAGCTCCTGAAAGTTAAAAAAACGGAAATGGAAATGATCTTATTACTGTCGCCGCTATGCTAATGATGAATAATTAAAATGGAGGAAAATAAGTCAATTAAAATATTCAAGATTATTTAGAAAATTATAATAAGAATTTTCTTAATAATAGAGAAAAAAGTAGTCAATAATAAATAAAAGATAATAATGGTGATAATATTAATTTAGATCCTGTTGAATATTAAGAATTGATAAAAAAAATGTAATATTATGATGATCCTTTACTTTATTCTTCTGATGATGAGAAAAAGAAAAGGAAAAGTGAAGAAGCTAAAAATGAAAACAAAAAAGATAATTTAATTAGTTAATTTTGATTTTTTTTTAAAAAATATCTTTTTTTGTAATTATTATATTTTGTTTTTTTATTTTTCTTTTAATTTTTTTTTTTTTTATTTCTGTAGATTGATATATATATATATATATTAAATAGTTTATATTAATAAAAAATTATATATTAATTTATATATATTAATTTTTAATATATAATAATTAAAATATCAAATAAATAAATATTATTAATTTTAATTTAAATAATTTTTAAAAATTTTCAAAAAAAACAAAAAATTAGATTTATTTAATTTAAAATTTTATTAAAAATAAAAAATATTTTAGGAAGAAAAAAATAAATAAATATATTTATATATAGATTTATAATATTTATTATTTTATATAATATAAATTAAATAAATAAAAATAATATATAATAAATAAAAAAAACTCACATTAAAAATGGATATGGTCGGAGTAAGACAATATTATTAAATAACAAAAAAACTTAAAAAATTTAAAATAAATAGAATGTACTTCCTCAAGTACTAAAAAACGAGGCATCAGAAGAAAAAGGAGAAATGGCTAGGCTCGTAATGAAAAAAAATATATACTTACATATTTAATAATAAAAAAAAGTCATCTTTTGTTGGAGCTATTGCTGTAGCAGATTTAGTCAAAACAACATTAGGTCCTAAAGGAATGGTATATAAAAAAAAATATAAAAAAAAAAAATATAAAAAAAAGGATAAAATTTTACGTCCGACTGGTCCTGGTCCTTAATCATAAAATATAACAGTAACAAACGACGGAGCGACAATATTAAAATCTATGTATATAGATAACCCAGCTGCTAAAATCTTAATTGAAATATCAAAGACATAAGATGAAGAAGTAGGAGATGGTACAACCACAGTTGCAGTTTTCGCTGGAGAACTATTAAGAGAAGGTGAGAAATTAATTAACTAAAAAATCCATCCTTAACATATAATAAATGGATGGAGAAAAGCCAGAGATGCTGCCCAATATACATTGAATAAGATTGCTAGAGATAATTCCACAAACGAAACCAAATTTAGAGAAGATCTTTTAAATATTGCCAGAACTACCCTTTCTTCGAAACTCTTGACTTAAGATAAAGAACATTTTGCTCGTTTAGCTGTCGAAGCTGTTTTGAGACTTAAAGGTTCTGCAAATCTTGACTAAATCCAAGTAATTAAAAAATCAGGTGGATCCATTAAAGACTCTTATTTAGCTGATGGGCTTATTTTAGAAAAACAAATCACTGTAGGATGTCCTAAAAGAATTGAAAATGCTAAGTAATAAAAAAAATTAATATTAAATTAAAAAAATAACTTATATATAGAATTCTCGTAGCTAACACTCCCATGGATTACGATAAAATAAAAATATACGGAACTAAAGTAAAAGTAGAAAGTATGGACAAAGTAGCTGAAATCGAAGCTGCTGAAAAAGAAAAAATGAAAAACAAAGTCGATAAAATCCTCTCATATGAACCTACAGTATTCATAAACAGACAACTTATATATAATTATCCAGAACAAATGTTAGCTGACAAAGGCATCATGGTAATTGAACATGCTGATTTTGATGGAATTGAACGTTTAGCAGCCGCTACTGGTGCTGAAATCCTTTCCACATTCGATAGTCCTGAAAGATCTGAATAAATAATGGGTAAATGTAAACTTATATAAGAAATAATGATTGGAGAAGATAAATTTGTATAATTCTCAGGATGTTAAAGAGGTGAAGCTTGCACTATTATACTCAGAGGTGCCTCCTCTCATATAATTGATGAAGCTGAAAGATCTCTTCATGATGCTTTATGTGTATTAGTTACTACTGTTAAAAATTCAAAGGTAGTCTACGGAGGTGGAAATTCTGAAATTTAAATGTCCTTAGCCGTAGATCTTTTAACTTAAAAAGTTAAAGGAAAATAAGCTCTTGCTATTGAAGCTTATGCTAAAGCCCTTAGATAATTGCCTACTATTATTGCAGATAATGGAGGCTATGATGCTGCTGATCTTGTTTAAACTTTAAAAGTAGAAATCTCAGAAGGAAAAACTTCTATGGGATTAGATATGATGAATGGTGGAGTCGAAGATATGGAAAAATTGGGAGTTACAGTAATTAAATATTTATTATTTTTTTTGTATAATTTTATTTTTTTAATAAATTAAGGAATGTTTAAGAGTTAAAGAATAAGCTCTTTTATCAGCTTCTGAAGCTGCAGAACTTATTTTAAGAGTAGATAGTATTATTAGAGCTGCTCCTAGATAAAGAAATAGAATGTGAGCGTATTCGAATTTAATTTGTTTTCTTTTTATTTTTTTTAATAAAAAATATTTAAAAAAAAAATATATTATTTTTTATATAGTTATAGTTATGTTTTATTGGATTTTTTTTTATTTCAAATAAATAAAATAATTCATATTTTTAACTTTTTTTTTATTAATTAAATTTTTTATTTTATATTTAAAAACCTTAAAACACATATTTAATTTATTTTATAAAAAAATATTTCATTTACTACTTTTTTATAAGAAATATCACATATCTAATCCTAAAATCTTTATATATATATAACAAAAATATTTAATTAAATATGTCTTATATATATATATAAAATGTTATTACTTCCAATTTTTTTATTTTAAAAGTATTTTTATTTGTTGAAACTAATAATTCATTATCATAAGTTTAACATTAATTAGTTTATCCTTTAAATAGATCTTTTTATATGTATAGTCCGAATTTTTCCTCACCACATCCAACACCTAAACCTTCTGAATCAGAAAACATATAATGCTCATTTATTCCTGTAGATTTATAGCATTAAATTACATCATCTTAGAATTTGAAAAGGAAGCATTCTCCTGTTCCATAAAATTTTGTTGATATTTATATAGGATCACTTAAATATGACCCTAAAATATCACCAGCAAAAGTTTAAATTATTAAAATACAAGGACTTTCGTCTTAAACATTTCTATAAAGTCTAAAAAAAAGAATATCATTATAATTTTTTAAATAAGAAATCAATTTTTTTACGTATTTAAACTGGTTCCATGTAAATCTAAAGAATATAGAATTTTCCAATTTGTAAATTAAAACATACATGGTATTTCTTATAATATCTATTTATTTATTTTTTTAAAAAAAGTTATAAATACATTTATATATTTATTTATTTCTGACAAAAGAAAATTTTTCAATAGATAAAATTTAAGAATTATCCTTTAATTTTGGAACAAATTATATGCTTTATAATTTTTCTTTTTATTTAAAAAAAAATTAAATTATTTATAAAAATGATATTTTTACTTTCTTTTTTTTACAGTTTTTATTGATTTTCACAAACATTTGATTATGTTGTTTATATTATATTTTCATATAAAATATCAAAAAAAGGTACTTCAGTATTATTTTCATAAAAATTACTATCATTATCTTCTTAGCTTTCTTATTATTATTGTTAATTATTTTTTTCTACATTCATATTTATTATTTAGGCTAAACTTTTGACAATATTATGTTAATCTTGGCTTGAAATTAATTATCCTTCATTATTTTTTACATAAAGTTTGAAAAAAACAGTCGAAATTGATTTTTTTTATTTCTTTAGTTCTTTAAGTCTATCTTTATATTTTTTATAAATATCTTTATTTCCAATATGACTTAAACAAATTTCCAAAACATAATCATTATTCAATTATTTTACATCTTATTCTTCTTTCAAATTAAAAATTTAATAATTTTTATTCACAACTAAACAAAAAGATTCATTAATATCTTTGATATCTATACAAACAGAAAATTTATCAATTCTTTTTTCTTTTTAAAAAATAAATAATAACAATATATACATATAATATTTTATTTTTGTACTTTATAATTAACTCATATTATTTGAATATGATAATGAAGGATCAAATCTTATTTATTTATCAGTTATTATAATGTTTCCCAAAATATTTCCTTGTTATGTACAATAATAAAAGTTTTCTATTTTTTTATTATAGTAAAAATAATAAGTTTTATATTAAAAAATAAAAATATTAATTACATTTTATTTCATTTTTATTTTAAATTTCTTATGATAATTAAATAAATTCTTAGTTTTCTTATATTTTTTATTCCTCATCTTATACATCTTTTATAACATTTAATGTTAGTAAATTTTATTCGTTATTTTCTTTGACTTATTTAGTAGTTTTGATTACAGGTGATAAGCTTTTATCTGTAAAATCTCTAGAATTATTTTTACTAATTGTAAAAGATTTACTAAATTATATTTAAGCTGTTTCTTTTGGGACAGGAAATTTAAGTTACTTTTTTATTATTTTTTTAAATTAAATTAATTTTTTTTTTAAAAAAAAATATCCTTTTACTAATCCTGGAAATAATAAATCGGAAATACCATTAATCATTTTAATTTTAGCTTCTGAAATATTAAACTTTATTGATAAGCCTATTAGGGTATCTTAATTTGTTGTAGTATATGTTATATATTATTATTCTTCTTCTAATTAATTATTTTATTCAAGATGAAATTGATTATCGGCTGAACTTTTGCTGTGTTAGGTATTTTCTTAATTTCCATCTTAATATTCTTCTTCTGAATCTATTTGAATTATTTAGTTACTAAAATGAATAATATTTTTTATATAATTCTTAACACGAAATATTATTTAGTGATTAAGTACACTTAGGATTTTTATTTTTATTTATTAATGGATTTAAATGCTTATTCGACTATATTTTATTAATTTATATTAAAAAAAAAATAGTTTACTTTAAACCCAAATGCATTTTTTAATGATGAAAACATGATATTAATTTTTTTTAATTTTGTAAATAATAATTAATAAAATAAATATAAAATAATGCATATTAATGTATTTTTAATATAATGTATGAATATAAAAAAATATAATAATTTATAGTCATAAATTTTTATAGAAATTTATACAAAAATTATATTAATAATTTAAAATATAATACGAAATATAATTTTATTTTTTACATAGAATATATATATATGTATATATTTTAAAAAGGTTTCTATATGATGAATAAAAATAATAAATTAAAATATTTAAATATAAAATTTTCCTGATAATAAAAAAAATTATATTGAAATTAAAATAAAAATAATAAAATTAAAATTAATATAAATAAAAAAATATATATAATAGAAAATAATTATTATAAAATTAAAAAAATATATGTATAAATTTATTTAAAAAAAGTATTTTATTAATGTATAAATATATTTATATAATTAAATATTTTTATATTAATATAAATGAATATTTATATATTTATATATTTATATATTTATTTTTATATATATTTTAAATATTTATTATTAAATAATTTTAT